ACAGCATGTGAGTGGGTGACTTCCACGTGAGCATAACTTGGAGAGTGGCTCCTTGCTCCATCCCCCATGCCCTGGACTGTGCTGCCCCCACCACACTGACGCAGTGTGAGTCCACATGCCCTGCCCCATCTCAGCCACCAACTCACAGTCGAGGAGTTAATAACCAGGATTCACCAGGATACACCCAGATTTGGCAAAAAAAATAGGTTGGCATCCAGTTCCCATAAGTGCTCCTGAAGATCTTGTCCATCACAGACCCTGAGTTTCCACTGCAGCCACCCCTGAGATGTCCTTCATGGGCTTGGTCCTGTCTGCTGCTGTCAGCAGACCATGAACCTGCAGATGACACCGAGGTCCTGGTGGGCTGTTGGTTTTACTCCCCAACTCAGGCAGCTCTTCCCAAACCACACCAGCTCTGCCCTCACTCCCTCTGGAGCTGCAGCTCCCCAGCATCCCTGCATGAGGTGGCCACTCCCTTGGAGACACAGGAGCAGGGACAGTGAGTGCCAGAAACTGTCCCCACGGGCAACAGGGTCAGTGCAGGGCTCTGAGGCTTGGCCAAGTACAGCCCACACCGGGCAGAGACCTGCCGAGGGAAGGGGTCTCAGCTAGGGACTGGATAAGCAAGGTGTTACCCACATGCAGTTCCCCAAATCACTTTCCTCCTTCTGCTGGGGGTGAAACCCCAAAATTTAAATTTCCCAATCTTGAATCACTCATGCACTAAGCAAGGCAGGGGCTGCATCTCCAACTTGAGTCCTGAGGACTGGAGCAACTTCCTCTGGGCACTTTGTGGGCAGGGCTGCTGGGTTCTCCCCCAGGCACTGTGCCCTCGTGCAAGGCTCCTCCCATATCACACCAGCCCACAAGAACAGTGATACCCAGTTTGCCCTCATCCCTGGAGACAGGCAACAGCCGGGGTGGAGGCAGGGAGGGCAGGATGGGTACCTGGAGGAGAAGCAAATACTAGTCGCTATGAAAAGCAAAACCTCCCTGATATTTTTCCTTTTAGGAAACTTGGAAACATCTATTTTATGACATTTTCCAGAGCTTTTGCCTTGTTTTATAGCAATTGACAATATTTATGTAATGACATAAACCACCATAAAGCAAGGCAGCCATGTAAATAGTGCAAAGTGGAAGCTCCCAGGGAAGTGGCAGCCAGCGCTGAGCTGCCGGAGACATCACTCGGAGAGAGCAAGCTCTGCTGGACCTCCCTGCCACACAAGGCCCTCCAAAATTAGTCTGGGTATCAGGAGAAAAATCCCACCCTGGACATCAAGCAAACCCCTCCCCCAAAAAAAGTTCATGTTTTCTCCCCTTATCTCAGAGCTCAAGGACAGCTGATGGTTTTGCTGTCAAGGGAACCCAAGCCACCAAGTTTTGAAGCATGTCTGACCTCAAGAGTCTAAATGGAGGTTTAAAGCCTCAAAATGGGTCTTGGATGCTCTCCTGCAGCCAACATCAACTGATGCCAGGGACAACCCATGGCTGGAGACAGCATGTCTTCAGTTAGCTGATGCCCTGAACCATGAGAGACCTTCAAATAGCCTAAAAGCAACAGGATCCAACCCAAAGCCAGTTTTCCACTTGGAAGTGCAGGAAGGCAAGGCCAGGGGACATGGGAACTTGGGAACTGCCCACTGTGTGCCTGGACACCCAACACTCCCATTTTCCATCCTTGGAAAGGTTGCACAGATGTCCTCCCCAGCACAGCCACGATACCCACAAACCCACCCAGGGACATGCCTCAGCCCCTTCCCCGGTCCCATCGGTCTCAGAGGCTGCAGAGGAACCACCACCACTCCATCCCATGGCTGGACACCTCCAGGCACCAACACAACCTGGGAAATCAGAAGGAAACGGAATTCGCACAGGGCGTGAGAGCTCAGATACTGCTGCAGCCTGTGAGACCTGCAGCAGTGAAGTCCCCGTCCCTGTTCCACCAGGACGCCATCCCTTCACCCCTGCTGGAGTTTGGCACTTTCCACCCAGACTTGGATCGGAAAGTTCACTCCACCCATGCCCCCCCCGCAGTACCCTTCATTCACTTGACCTTCAGGAGCTGCTGGTGGAACTGGTACACAGCTTCCTCCCAGCCTCCACTGAGGAAAGCAGAGCAGCCCCTTTTTCGGGGTGTCCAGGGATGCAACTCTTCCCTGCAGTCACCCCTGTGCTAGGACACCTCCCAGGGGGACACCTCTGTCTGGCCACCCAGAGAGGAACAAGATCCCTCCGTAGCACCGACCTGCACGGCCACGGCTGCAGCTCTGTTGGGGACCCATCACCAGGGGACAGGACCGGGGCGCTGGGGGGCACTGGGGATGGCTGGGGAAGGGGCTGTGGTGCCTTCCGCATGGCTTCAGAGAGCAGCTGAAACGCCAAAACAATCATCACTGATGGTAGCACCTGACAAAAGTTTTGTCTCGTTTCTGTTCGTCTGTCCTGTCGGTGCCCTCTCCCCGCACATCGCCTCGTCCCCTCACAAAACCTGTGTTCATTCTGGGGTTGTTTTTGTCGATTTTTTTTTTATTATTTCTGTTAATATCTTGGACTGTAAATGTTGTTTAGTTATGACCATGGCAGACTGCTTTGGGCGACGTTTCTTTACAATGCAAGTTTTGTCTCGTTTCTGTTCGTCTGTCCTGTCGGTGCCCTCTCCCCGCACATCGCCTCGTCCCCTCACAAAACCTGTGTTCATTCTGGGGTTGTTTTTGTCGATTTTTTTTTTATTATTTCTGTTAATATCTTGGACTGTAAATGTTGTTTAGTTATGACCATGGCAGACTGCTTTGGGCGACGTTTCTTTACAATGCATACTAATATATTTATTATATA